TAAATAATTCACCTTTTAAAATTTTACGATGTTATCTAAATACTGTTTTTCTTACTAAACAGATGAAACTCACTCTTTTCATGCCTACTCCCCCTCCCTCCCCCCCCCCTCTCCCCAAGATGAGGAAGATACTGACGAACCGCTAATTAACCTGCCTATTGAAGTTTATGAGGATCTCATGGATCAATAAAACTTGAGTGCATGATCGTCTCCGCACTCTAATGAGTCCAATAATATAATGAAAGAAGTGGCACTCTTTTGTATTTTGACATTGTATTTTGCAGCCACTTCTGGCCTCAGTTATATATATGTAATTAGAACTCATATATTTATAAGATATTTGTATTAATTTGCTCTGCTGCATATAATTTTTGTTATGCACTCGTAATTCTATTTCTATATCTAACACCCACATGCCTTAGTTAGCTTCTGAGATGTCACAAATTGTATCAGAGTAGATTATGTGGATCAAATCCCTTACAACTAAGGTTATAGGTAGAAAGACCATTAGAATACCTAGGAAGAATAAATTCTTTTTTCAAAATTAGACCACCAACTCATGTTTTCCTTTCTTTTATAGGAATGCTGCGAGGAAGACCATTCATAGAATGTATGGAGAAACCAGAAGCCCATGATCCTCCAACTAGGGCTGAATTTGTCGAACTCTTCCGAGTCATCTAAGGATTGACTGCAGTCGTAGGAAAAAATCAAGTCAACCCTTGTCCACCTCCTGTCCCAAAATACCAAACAGTTGAGAGGCCTATTTCTCATAACATAACAGAGTTTAGGAAGCTTAACCTGCCACATTTTAAAGGTGGCCCTGACCCCTTAGTAGCCAAAAACTGGATCCTACAAATAGAGAGACTTTTCTCTGTCCTAGACCTAACTGAGGAACAAAAGGTTCCTCTAGCAGCCTTTATGTTAAATGATGAAGCAGAACACTAGTGGTGACTTAAGAAGGAAGTCCTACCTACCCCTACGACCTGGGAGGTTTTTATTGATGCATTCTTTGACAACTTTTTCTTTGCCTATGTCCGAGAAAAGAAAGAGGAAGAATTTTAGAATCTCCGCCAAGGAAACTTGACGGTTGCTCAGTATGCAGCCCGTTTTGTCCAACTATCTAGGTTCGCCCCTCTAATGGTCATCCCCAAAAGTTGTTCTAACACCCGGAATTAATTTTAATATATTTAAAATTAGTGTATAAATATAATTTTTAAATTTTTAAATTTTTATTTAATGTAAAAATGAACAAAAATAGGTGAAGGATGAAATTGAAAATAATTTGGGAAAAAGGGGTGAAACTTTGGGTTATGGGAGTATTTTTAAAAGAAAAATCAGAAAATGGAGGTCAAAATGTAATTTAAGAAAAATATGCCACGTAGAACACCCAGTCAGCAGTCCCGACGAACCGGAGTGCGCCACGTGGCAAGGCACGCTGGCGCAGTGCCATGCGGAAGGCCACGCTGGCAATCTGTATGACCGCGATCGGACAGTCCAGATTTGTTCCCAC